GGATTTCCCTATTGTGGACATTGTATTTCAGTGGCTGGACACAACATGTAGCTCTTGCTTCTAGTTTCTTTCACTTAGCATATTGTTTTCAAGGTTCTTCCACATCAGTAATTCGTTCTTTTCAAAGGGTGAATAAAATTTCATTGCATGGAAATGTCATATTACATTTAGCCACTCATAATTTGATGGAAATTTGGGTTGTCTCTAAATTGGGGCTATTATAATGTGACTATGAACATTCATGTACAAGTTTCTGTGTGGTCATATGTTTTCATTCCTCTTGGGTATATGCCCAGAAGTTTAATCTCTGGGTCACATGGTAACTCTATGTTCATTTCAGGAACTGCCAGACTGTTTTCCAAAGCAAACTGTACCACTTTACATTACCAGAGTATATGATTGCTCTTGTTTTTCCACATTCTTGCCGACACTTTTTATTATCTGATCACAGCCACCCTAGTGTGCATGAAGCGTACTGCACTGTGGTCTTGATCAGCATTTCTCTGATGGCTGATGGTACTGAACATCTTTTTCATGTGATAACTGGCCATTTGTATATCTTCTTCGGAGAAAAGTCTATTCAGATCCTTTGGCCATTCTTAAACTGGGTCATTTCTCTTTTTTCTTCTTGAGTTGCAAGAGTTCTTTCTATATTCCAGATACAAGTCCCTTCTGAGATACATAATTTGTATCTGTTTCCTCCCGTTTTGTGACTTCTCTTTTCACTTTTTAACGGTGTCCTTTGAGGCACAAATATTTTTCATATGGATGAAGTCAAATTTATTTTTTTTTGTTTGTTGCTCATGCTTTTGGTATCACATCTAATAGACCATTGCCTAAGATAAGGTTATGAATTTTTATCCCTAGAGTTTCACAGTTTTAGTTATTGCACATATTTTTATACTCTATCTCAGTTTATTGTTCATACATAATGTAAGGTGGGTCTTCAACTTCATTCTTTTTGTATGCGGACATCCAGTTATCCCAGCACCATTTTGAAGACGATTCTTTCCTCCACTGAGCAATCTTGGCACTCCTCTCTCTTCTAAATACACATCCAAAGCATTCCATTCCTTGCAGGTATAGATTAATCTGATCTTGTTATTTTTCAGCTATCAGGTATTATATTACTCAACTTGAACCCCTAAATCTTTGAAGCATATATGTGAATCTCTCCTAGACTTCACTTAAGCTTGGGAAACGATTTACATTTAAAAACATTTATCAAGTACCTCCTATGTGCCAGGCAGTGTTCTAAATGTTGAGATACACTCCTTATGAAGCAATAGGAGTTCCTGGGGATGATTATGAAACACAGTATATTCCATAACAGAGAAGGGGACAAAGTGCCAAAGATGCTGAAGGAACACAACCACTATTTTCTGTGCTGGAGCTTGTAAAAGGGTCACACTGAGGAGGGGCATTTGACCAGGAAGAAGGTTTGAACTCTCACACAAAGAAGGCACTAGACAATTCCAGACAGTGGGAAACAATGAGCACACAGTGTATCATTGAAAAAAGGCTCAGTACATGCAGGGAACAGAAGTTTAACATGTGACAGTATGGGCAGTAGGTAAAGGTGCCCCTTGAAAGGTGAGCAGAGTCGAATATTAACGGTCTTACACACCACACGACAGAACTTATAGGCAACAGACACCCAACTCTAGATCTGAACAAGAAAGCCATGTGCATTTAAGGAAGACAACAGTGGGAATAAGATATAGAACTCACTAGCATGGGGACAGACTCGTACTGAGCATTTCTCCCATATGTCCAGCCTGAAGGGAGATTTAAAAAAAATTTTTTAATGGGGCAACCCCCTCAGGCCCCCTCCCACTGTGGGAGCTTTTCTGTCCTCTCAATAAATTCTGCTTTAAAAATTTTTTTAATTTTATGATTCATTCTTCCCACAACTGCATGACAACAACGTATTTTGCTCCTTACATCTCTTGGTGATGATACATCTCCTAAGATTTTATACTTGGTTCTACCCTCCTCGTGCATGCTGTCAGCCTTAAAGGTGATGTTGCAGACACATCCCACTGGCTTCTCAATTCAAATTTCTCCATATGAACAATCTGTTCGTCTCAGATACCTTACTGTAATATACCATTAAAAATATAATACAGGGGCTGGGCCTGTAATCCCTGGGATTAAGCCTGCAATCCCAGCACTTTGGGAAGCTGAGATGAAAGGATTGCCTGAGCTCAGGTGTTCGAGACCAGCCTGGGCAACTTGGTGAAACTTCGTCTCTACAATAAATCAAAAAATAAACCAGGCGTGGTAGGATACACCTGTGGTTCCAGCTACTTGGAGGACTGAGGCGGAAGGACCTGAGCATGCCACTGCACTTCAGCCTGGGTGACAGAGTAAGACTGCAGCATGCACACGCGCACATATACACACAGACACACACACAGACACACACACACACACACAGAGACACATACACACACATATATAATACTAGCAATGAAGGTCATTTAACTTTGAGCCTGTTGTCTAGTCAAGGAGTCCAAATGAAATGGAGTTATACACGTCTCACAGACTGCTTCTTTCTTTTTTTTCAATTTGGAATCCAAATTATTCCATTTCTACTATTCTTCTAGTATCTTCTAGCAAATTCTTCTGTAACTGTCAACTGGGAAGAGAGTTACTATGTTTCCATCGTCAGGGTTATGAAAGTGAATAGACAGATCTGCTTTTACCCGCTCTACTTAGATTTTCTACAGAAGTGTTTCAGAATGAGAAATATATCCAGGTCAGAAATTCTTCATTTGTCCTAGAACGTCAAATAGATACTTTGGAGTTAACATAATCACAGTAACATCACTAGCAAGAAAAAGCCCAATGTAGCGTCTCTCCATTAGAATGATTAGAATGTTCGATTTTTAGCTGGTATTCCTTAATTGAACCTCTAGCATAAAAGGAAGTGTTGTTTTTGCCATCACCATGGTAAGAACTGCACTCTGTTCAATAGAAGGAAATACTTCCCCAATATAAATGAGCAGGTGAAATAATGGAATTTCTGCATCCCTTGTCCTTTCTGTTAATTGACTGGTGATGTGAATATGACCCATCACCTTGAATGCCTGCCAGAAGAACCTGTTCTGCACCCTTTTCTCCCTCCAGTGATTCCCATTTACAAAGACTTGTGTAAAACAAGTCATTTATTTACAGCAGTGGGAAAACTTGCCAACAGAAAAAAAAAGAAAAAAAGATGTCACATTGGCTCCATAAAAGTAGGGATAGAAAGAATGAAATTACGGTGGCTACAATATGCCTTACACAGTGAAGAAATGGGTAAGTTTTGACATCAGAGACAGATAAATCTTCTTGGATTCCTGCCTGTGCTTCAGCAATTTTCCTATGTAGCTGCCAAATTTTTCACCCTAGCAAAATCATTAAAAACTGAAAATTTCAGATTTTTAAATCAGTTTAAAAGCAGAGGCAGAGAGACAGAAAAGAATTTTTAAAAAACCTGGAAGGACAGAATCCAAAAAAAATGTTAGCATAGTAAGTATCATCTCTGGGTAGTTTAATTAGAAATATTAGGTTGACGCATAAGTTCATAGCATTTCTTTTTTGCATGGCAACACTGCAGCGTTGGGAGTTTAATATTTGTCATTTTGAGTGACGATGTTGCGTTTGTTATACCTTGCAATTTTGTAGATTTGAAGAAAGTTAGTGCTATCTGTGGGCTAAAGAAGATAGAATGTCAAGTGAAAAAAAATGAACACTTCCGACATATTCTTCTGTTTGAGTTTAACTTAACAGGAGTAAAGGCAGTAGAGGCCGCTCTAAACATTTGTGCTGTGTAGGAAGAGAATGCCATTGGGGAAAGCACGGCAAGAAAGTGTTTCTGCCATTTTGAAGAAGGTCACTTTGACCTGAGAGATTCTCCATATTCAGGAAGACCGTCGGGACTTGATGAAGACCATTTAAACACTTTAGTCCAAGACGATCCATTTCAATCAACTGAAGAATTGGCAAACGTGATGAAGTGTGTGACCAGTCCACCATCACGCGACATTTGCATTCCATGGGCACTTGAAAAATGTTACAAATTTATGCATCAAGTCAACAGTTTCTTTTACAGACTTCTGGTTTTCTTGGGGAAGGGGGATTCCTAATTTTTTTTCAAATAAGTATATAATGCTTTTATAATCAGTCTTTTTAAAAAGGCAGAAATAAAAACATTTGGTAATTAAGTATTTGGAAAGACAGTTATGTAGGGGGAAGAAAGGGAGACATGCACATTGTACTGAGGCTAGTACAAAAACAACAGTATATAAGACATCCACTACACTCAAGGTGCCCCAAACATTGTATGTCTTATCCAGGTATAGAGTATAACTTTATTCTTTAAAAGATTTTATACTTTATTCAGGTATAAGTACAGAAATATAATCTTTTATGCCTTATTCAGGTATAGGAATATAACTGTACTCTTTAAAGCATTTTTACTCTTCTAATACATCTCTATTACCATCATTTTACTTAAGAGAAAACCAAAGATCAGGGAAATTAAGCACAAACGGTCAAGTTCTCATGTCATACATAGCAATTCTCCAATTCCAGGTTGTGCCACATTATGGAGGGATGGGACTCCTATAACAGAGGGCAGACCCTACTTATGTGAACAACGTCGCCTTTCATATATTAACTAAGTCTACACATTTTCCCCCCAGAAAACTATAGTACAGATGGAAGGAAATGTCTAAAGCAGGAGACTCCGTGCAGGAATCACATCATTATGATCTAGTATAAAATCGAACCTGGCAGAGGACAGACTAGTAGCCCTCTTCTTTCCTTTTCTCCCACTCTCTGGTACCTCAAGCAGCAAGACACAGGAAGTGCTATGTGGTACCATCAAAATGATGGCAAACCTAGCATGACTGTAACTAAAGTAACTCCTGGAATAAGCCTGTTGAAGCCTCGAGATGTTTTCTGTTGGGACAGTGTCCCTAGTGAGTGCAGAAGTCCACCCAGTGGGTTACCTGTGAGATATAGCCTGGAGGCACATGGATGGGAGGAATGGATCCGTTGGGTGACACCATGGGAACTTCAGCAGGTCCTAAGAGAGATATGCGCAAGATGTTAATTGCTGAAGAAACACACACATCATTCAAAATAATCAGTATTTCTGATGTACTATCAAAACTGAAAATAATTAGTAACTCTGACTATCATCAATAATTGGTTTACATATACTACCTTAAAGCTGGACCTGAAAAACCATGAATGAAAAGGAATTTTCCAGCTACACAACTCAAATTAAGAAGAACAAAAAACAAATAAACAGAAAACCAAAAACTATAAGCATCTTTAAAAATATCTAATGATTCCCAAAGTCTCAAGTGCCATAAGCTAAGATTGCTTAGTTAAGAGTAGTCTAACATAGTAGAGCAAAAAGTTTCTTTCTTTCTTTTTTGCCTTTAAAGAATGTATTATTAATAAATGTTGAAACAAATCAAGTACGAGATGAGTTTATCTGTTCTGGTTTTAAAAACTCCTATAGACTTTAGGTTTATAATTTTCAGTTAGATTATTATTTTCAATAAATAACTGTAACATGCCATTAAGTTGAAATACAAGAAATCTTTAAAAGACTCCAAACCAACTGAATTTGATCTGTATCTTACAATGCAGGGGGAAAATAGAGCATATTTTATAATAAGGAACTATGAGGAATACTCATGCAAATTTTCCTGAATTACTTCAAAGTAAAGCACTAAATTGAAACTAAGAGATTAGTTTCAAAATATTAAACTCATTTATCTGAACTAGTATCAGTGGTGAAACCTACTGCCACCAAATGTAAATTTTCATAAAACCCCTTACGGGAAAATCATCACCCTCAATGCTGAACCCTCAGATACAACAGAAAATGAAAAGGCCAAGATCCAAGATAAGGAAGAAATTACTCCTGATCAGTCAAGACTGATCTTTGCTGGCAGGTAACTGCAAGAGGATCATAATGTTACCACAACATTCAAAAGGCATCTGCTCTTCATTGTGTGTTGAGACTTCGTGGAGGTGCTACGGAAAGGAAGAAGCAGTCTTATACCACTCTTAAGAAGAATAAACCTAAGAGAAAAGACGCTAAATGGCATGTGTTAACATACACTAAGATGGATGTGAATGGCAAAAGAAGTCACCTTTATCTGGAGTGCCCTTCTGATGAATGTGATGGAGTTTTTATGCCCTGTCACTTTGACATCATTGTGACAAATGTTGCCTGGTGTATTACTTCAACCAATCAGAAGACAAGTAATTGTGTTTAAGTTAATAAAATACATAAACTAAAAATAAATAATCAATGGTAATTACATGTCAAACAAAGAATGACAAGGTTAACACTCAGGGACCTAAGACATAGTTTTGAGTTAATATTTAATTACAAAGAAACTGATTGTCAACATCTAAATCAACCTTTGACATTCTTCCAAAGACTCTGAGATTAAATGGCTCCTCCAGAAGTGCAAGCACCTCATGCTCTCTAGTTTCTGCCTGAGGACAGGCTCCCTAGTAGCTCTCAAATGTCAATCCAAAGCTCTGGGTTTCTGGTCTGAGATGTGACTTCCTGGGTCCAAGCACCTTGCCTTGTTTATTTGCTTTCTCCTGAAGTGTGTTGTGCTGCCGGCAATGAAAATTGCTGGGCTGGAACAAAATCCAAGAGAAATACAACACTTACTTGGCAAAAAAAGACAGATCCTGTCACCCAGTGCTGCACTTACATGTAAGTACAATGCACCTTTCACTTCACAGTACAACTAGTGTTCTGACATCTTCACAGGAGAGGATGCAGTGGGGGAAGAGGGACAGGGACACTGCTGTGTACATGAACGGGTTTGTGAAATGGAGGGAAAAACAGCAGCAGGGCAGAAAGGATGAGCAATGCTCATTTATTCCAAATACCAAGAGTCCACTGAAACTTCCTGGATAATATATCTCTTCGCCAAACTTTCAGATCATCTCTGTACCCCTACATAGCCACAGCAGTCTTTCACATGATAATGCTCAGGCGAAATTTGAAGCAAAAGAAGAGAACGGCATAAAAATGGATCTTTGCAGGACCCAATTTTATTTTTATGTACAAGTTAAACTACTATGTACACCAATCACTAGAGACACTGGTTTCCAAATCCATTTTTCTCAATGGCGTCAGCATTTTTGCCATCTCCGACAAGACAGTTGAGTATTTCCTTTAATATCTTTTATTTGATTTCACTCACTCAAAAAGAAAACATGCACATGATTTTAACACCATCCTAAGCATGATCTGTGAAATCCAAAAGTCACTGTGCTTAGTTCTATGCAGTAAGTGTTAGGAACATGATGTCTACTTGCTTTTATATTCCAGCTTGCTATTCGTACTGGCTGTGCGACCCTAAACAATTCACGTGGCTTCACTGAGCTTAACTTCTCAACAGTTATAAAGGAGAATAAGAAATGCTACTTCATATGGCCAAGTTCAAAGATTAAATTCAGTAACACATGCAAAAGTAGTTAGAGTAATTCATGGCATGATAATCATTCTTCAAAATGTTACCAATCAGTATTCTTTACAATGATTTTTATAATTTTGTTGATAACTTTTGGTTGTTTTTTCTTGTCTTACTGGTTACAATTAAATTTTAAGTACTAATTTTTTTTAAAAGCACATACTTGAAGGCTAAAATCTGGAACTAACAAACCTATAAAAAAACATAGAAAGGGAGCTTAAAAAGACAGGACAAAGGCTTCAGGAGATGTACAATTATATTGAGACCAAACTTAAAACTGATAGGTATCCCTGAAGCAGATAAGGAGAATGAGAGCAGCCTGGAACAAACATTCCAAGAGGTCATCCAAGAAAACTTCCCATATCTCTTCAGAGTTACGACAATCCTAACACAAGAGACACAGAGAACCGCTGCAGGGCATCAAATAAGAAGACCAACTCCCAGGCACATAGTAATTTGCTTGTAAAAAGTAGGTATGAAAGAAAAATTCTTAAAGGCAGCAAGACAAAAAGGTCAGACTAACTACCGGAGAAAACCAATTAGAATAGCAGCAGACTTATTTAGAAACACTACAGACTAGAAGAGATTGGAGTCCAATCTTCAAAATACTCAAAGATAAACAATTCCCACCAAGAATCTCCTACCCAGCTAAACTAAGTTTCATTAGTGATGGAGAATTAAAATCTTTCCGAGACATTCAATCCCTAAGAGTGTATGCTGCCTCCAAACCAGTTCTACAAGAGATGCTCAAGAAGGCAATAAGCACAGAAAAGAGAAAAATAGAACAACCACATTCCTCCCAAGAATGCAAGAAAACAAAGAACCAATAAAGCATGCATCATGACTGCAAAGTTGAAAACACACACATAAATCAACCCCTAAATTAAAAGAAAACCAACAAACAACAACAAAGTCTATTAGAGTCCAGACAGGAATAAATTCTCACATCTCAATAATCAGCCTGAAAGTGAATGGACTAAATGCACCACTGAAAAGGCATAGAATGGAAAACCAAAGCCCAAATAAAAAGCACAATTCCATTCACGATAGCGACAAAAAAAAAAAAAAAAAAAAAAGGAAAGACCTTGGCAATTTCCTAACCAAATAAGTAAAAGACCTTCACAATGAAAACTACAAAACACTGTTCAAAGAAATCCAAGAAGGCACAAACAAATGGAAAAATATTCCATGCTCATGGACTGAAAGAATTAACATTGTTAAGATGTCCATCCTACCAAAGGCAATCTACAGATTTAACACAATACCCATTAAACTACCAACATTATTCTGCATGTGGTCAGTCAGTTTTCACAGCACGATTTACTGAATAGGAAATCACAATACAGAGATTCATATGGAAATATAAAAGACTACAAATAGTCAAAAAAATCCTTAGCAAAAGAAACAAAGCAAGAGATATCATACTTCCAGACTTCAAACTCTACTATAAAGCTACAATAATCAAAACAGGCCAGTATTGGTACAAGAACAGGTATACAGACCAATGGAACAAGATAGAGACTCTGGAAGAAAACCTTCAACATCTCAACCAACTCATCTTTGACAAAGCCTCCTCCCACAACCAATGGGGAGAGGAAAACCTACTCAGTAAATGGTGCTGTGAAAACTAGCTGACCACATGCAGAAAACTGAAACAAGACCTGTACCTATCACCATACACAAAAATCAACTCCAAATGGATCAAAACCTAAATGTAAAACCTCAAACTGTAAGAATCCTAGAGGAACATGTAGGAAACACCCTTAAAGAAATTGGACTTTGGGAGGCCGAGGTGAGTGGATTGCCTGAGTCCGCAGGTTCGAGACCCGCCTGGACAACTTGGCGAGACCTCATCTCTACAATAAATCAAAAATTAGCCTGGTGTGGTAGTGCACACCTGTAGTTCCAGCTACTTGGAAGGCTGAGGCAGAAGGATCGCCGGAGCCCAGCAGGTTGAGGCTGCACTGGCCAGGAGCGGCCACTGCACTCCCATCTGAGTGACAGAGTGAGACTCCAACTCAAAAAAAAAGAAAAAAAATTGAAATAGGTAGCCAATTCCTGATCAATTCTCTAAAAGTGAATGCCATAAATGATAGGATAGACAAGTGGGAACTCATCAACCTGAAAAGCTTCTGCAAAGCAAAAGAAACCATCAAGAGAGTGGGGAGACAGCCCACAGAATGGGAAAAAAATATCTGCCAACTGTATATCTGACAATTCCTAACATCTAGGATCTACAATGAACTCAAACATACCGAAAGGAAAAAAAACTAACAACCCTAATAAAAAATGGGCAAAAGATATGAATAGACACTTCTCAGAAGAAGACACACAAGCAGCTAATAGATACATGAAAAAATGCTCAGCCTCATTAATCATCAAAGAAATGCCAATTTAAAATCACACTGAGATACCAGTTAACTCTAGTCAGGACGGCCATCATCAATAACTCAAAAGATGTCCCGGCATGGTGGCTCAAGCCTGTAATCCCAGCACTTTGGAAGGATGAGCTGAGGGGCTTGCCTGAGCCCCTCAGGGTTGGAGACCAGCCTGGGCAACACCATGAGAC